CGCATGATCGTTCGGGATGGACCGAGATCCTGCGTGTACTGGAGCCAGCCACGACCTGCGAGATGCCAAAGCGGGATCTGGGACGTTGACCGCTTTCAAGTGTTCCGTCGACAAGGTCCACACAATTTCGCACTCGAGCAACGTGCCTGGTTGACGTCCACGTTGCGAAAGACGGCGGCCTGCCGAAGCATGCCATGCATCCAGTTCGAGAGCACTGCTCAGAGGGGGGTGTTCGCCTAGCCGACGACTTGCTACGACGGCAATTGACCCCATCGATCCATGTGGACCTTGGACTTTGGGTCGCCTGCGGGCTAAAGGTGTGTGCTGCCATGTTCACCTTGTACGCGCTGGCATGGATCGGGAGGAAGGGGGTGCCGGGGGCTGGACAATCGCGTTCCTCTCAAGGGTCTGGACCAGCGACAAGACGACGGAGCTGTCGTGTTGGTCCTGTTGGCGCCGACATCGGAGATGCACATGCATACTGCAACCCGCACAACGATCGACATTGAGGAATCAACGACCCGTCGTTCGCGCCGCGATGCATGGTGGGATGGACAAAGTAGCGGTGTTAAACTCGTGGTCGACAGCGACCGTCCGGCAGCCTTGCACCGCCGCGCGCACGCCATGAACGAATGCACTCCCCAACGCCAGGAACACGGGATTTGCCACGTGTCAAGCACAGGATGGGTTTCATTCGAGCCATCCATCGCGCATCCACGCGGACATCGGAGCGGATTCGCCCATGGTGCGCTCTGCGTTATGCGTTTGGAGCGCAGAGGTGTCGCCGCCACCAAACAGTCTGACGAACGTGTGGTCGGCGATCGCCTTCTACTCAACACGAGGATGGACTTGCCGTTGGGACCACCCACTCACCCTGACCAGCCACACTTGTGGGGATTCCGAGCCAGCCGCGAAACCTGCTGCGCACACAACACAGACGCGATGGATGGATCGATCCAGTGCCCGAACAGCGAGCACGAACATTCACGTCTGGTAAGTTAAAGGCCCTTGTCGGCTCTGTCCATTTTCACACAAAGTTTGCCCGTGACTTCGCCCGTGCGTCGCCCGCCGACCGTGAGCGTCGCGACAAAGTCGACTTTGCGGCCGGCACGGTGGATCGCTTCGGTCAAGCTGATGACGCCCTGGCCAGCAGTCGTTCCGGACGGGACAATGAAGTTGAGCGCCATGTGGAGGGGCCGTCGAGGGGGCAGGGCAATCGAGTGGCGCAGGCCATGCCGCGCCAATGTCGACCACGCGTTGAGTTTCCACGTCGGTTTGAGCGCCGTGCTCTTGCCAGACGTGAACAACAAGTTGTCTGCGACTTCCATCAAGTTGCGCTCTTCCGCGTACGGGTCTTCGCACGGGAGAGGAAACACACTCCGGACGCGCAGCCCTTCTACACACACGTCAGGCGGCGCATTGGCGACCATGGCGTCGTACCAAACACCATGCCGGGCTTGACAGTCCCGGACATGGTCGTTGCCTGCGACAGCTCGCTCGAGAACGAGTCGTGGGACGCATCGCCCTTGGACGGTGCTGCCATGTCGCATTCGCTTTCCGACGCCTCGAAATCTTCGAGCGCTGGACCCCATCGTACACTCAACTGGGTCAATTGCACGCTGTACAGGACCTTCCGCCCTTCCACGACCCCGCGCGGCATCGAGTGCGGCGACAGTGTCGCCGACGACTTGTCCACCGTAAACACACACGACACGGGTTTATGGTCCGACGTCTCGATATACTCGGCACTCGTGTACTGGGCGCACGTGATGCGGTTCTACGTGACGAGGTTGGTTGAGTCGATGGTGTCCCCATTATTCTGACAGCTTACCCGGACGGCAGGCAGCGAATGGTACAAGATGCGGTCGGTGTACGACGGCACGCGGACTTTGCCGTCGCCCAGCACAGTCGTGTACAGCTGCGCCACGTGTGCAAAGGACGTCAGCTCGCGAACGTCGAGCATGCGGCCGAGGACGCGGCGGTACGTGGGCGGGAATGCAATCTTGGCTTCGTGAAAATCGGCCAAGATCACTCCGTCATCCATGCATTGCTTGAGTTCGTCGTGCAGGAGGAGCGATGGCCACGACAGATGCGGACTGAACGCGGCGGCAGGTGCAGACGCCATCGGACTGTCGGCATGAAGAAGGCGGGCGTTTGCGTCGGCGTGCAGTGTCGTGATGGCGGTCGTGGCGTGGTGCGGGCCATTGCCCAAGACGGCGGAAGGAGATTCCGTCAGGAAGTACACGTCTGTCGTGCCACTTGATTCCGACACACTGCCCTTCAATGCTGGATACCCTGCGACGCTCATGGAATACCGACTGGAGGTCGTACTTGTGGGCAGCATGTCGAGCATTCGAGCGCTGTGTTGTAGCAAATGCTGGGAACTGTTGACAATCGTAGTCACCAT